CCAGTGACTGAGGGGCATTCTCCACAGGTTAGAGGACCAAGGAGCTGGGGGCTGGGGGGTGGGGGGCAGTTCCAGCCTCTGTCCCCTTTGGGCGCTGTGACTTGTTCCTTCCACAGGGGGGTGGGGCTGTGGGTAGTTTCTCAGACGTGCACATTCATCCCCCCTGCTCCCAGGTCACAGATAGGTGGTCAGTGTTGAATTGCGGATGTAGACCTCCTGTCATGGGAAGACAGACCACCTCCAGTGGAGCAAAAGTAGGGCACTCACTCAACAGGTAGTAATTGCTCACTGTGCTTCAGGCTCTAACACAGTGCCTGGAAATCAGATGTGAAGATGCTTCCGAGGAGCCTCTTGGGGGTAGGCACCCAGGAAGAAGCAACAGAACAGAGCTGCCCAATACAGCTGCAAATGTAATGTAAATTTTCAGAATATCACATTATAAAACTTAAAAAGCATCAAATTAATTTTAGTAGTAAATCAACCTGTGTTAAATATGGACATCTCAATATGAATTCAAAATAATATAAAATTCTTGATGACTTAGGCTTTCTTTAATTCCTACCTACTAAGTCTTAAAAGCTCAGTGTAGATAATATACTTCCAAAACATTTTCTTCAGATTGGCGGCATTCAAGTGCTCAGAAGCAGGCCCTACCCAGCTGACAAGAGCAGTCTGAAGCATTTGGATTGACTTAGATATGATGGAAGAGAGAAGCAGAGCAAATTATGCAGGGCTTTGTACTGTGATTAATAGTTGCGACTTTGTACAGATATATTTTTTTAATATTTACTTATTTATGCATAAAGAACAGGCCAGAGGTATAGGGGATGGGGGTTGGGGGTTAAGAGGATTCAGCAGAGACAGAGCGGGGAGCAGAACAGGCAGATCTACTGAAATACTCTGCTGAAGCCTGGGGCAGCCTGCAAACAAGACAGGTCTGCTGTGCCATGTGAGTCAGCTCAGCTTCCTGGCCAGGGATCAGGACACAACTCCTGTTGCAGTGGCTGTGGACTGAGTCACAGTGCTGGCCTTTAAACTTTTGCACCATCAGGGAGGGCGCGAGTCTTCTTACAGATATTTTAGAAATAAAACAGAAATACATGAGAAGTTGTTAATTGGCTTACCACTGGTAACTATTACTCATTGAAGGGGTAGAGACCGCAATGAGAGCTTTTATGTAATAACACTGGTCTTCTTGTCTTATAAATTATAGCAGAATTTATTCAGGGACCATCTGTAGCAAATTTCTTTGTTTCTTTGGCACTTACCAAAGAGGTGGACAAGAGGGAGAAGGGGGAGAGAGAGGGAGGAAGTGGGAAAGAGAGAGGGAGAGTGGAGAAAGGGGAAAGGTGAGAAGGAAGGAAGGAGAGAGGGAAGGAAAAAGAGAGGTAGGGAGAGAGAAGATAGAAAAGAAAAAAATGAAAAAGAAAGCAGGTCCACATTAAAGTGGTCATAAGTAGCTTAAATAACATCAACTTGGGGACAATGACCAACAGAAGTAGATGTGTAATGATCCTAGGAAAGTTAACACTAGTTCTGTGTCAGGAAGTCAAGGAAGCATCTGGAGGATGAAAGTTGAAGAAATTAGGATGGCATCTCCAAGATTTTTTAAAGACACTGAAGGGTTCAGTGTGGGATTATAACAAATTCAATATTGCCTTCTCTGTAGGGAGTAAAGAGAGGCAATTCCTTGGGCTGGACTAGACAGCAAACCTAAGTGTAGATCCAGCCCTAACATTAACCCCTGGAGGTAAATGACCACCTCTCTGGACCCGAACCCCTCATTTACAGCATAATAACTATACCCATGTACCACACAGTTTAGTTTAAAGAACTAGCAAAGGCTTGTGAAGTTAGCTATTACCATGTGGTTCATAGTGACATCCAGTACACGACTCTTAACATTCCAGCTTTGAGACTTCCTGGATTGAATTCTTCAAGAGGAGGTGACAAGTGCTCAGTTTATTTGAATGACTGCAATTTTTCTTACCTTACTGTTTTCTATTCTTCCCTCTATATCACCTCCCTAAACTCCGTATGGTTCATGAGTATGTAGAAAGGAGACATTGATTTCAGTTGTTGGTTTAGTGATGGTATTAAGAAATAATTTCTAAACATTACTTGTCTGAACCTTACACATCTGGATAAGGAAAATCTAATAGTTAAAGGCAAGCAGAAAGGAGAAAAGAAAAAGACTGGGGGTTTTCTTCTGGTCTCCCATCATTGCTAACTGCTGGGCAAAGGCATTATAACAATGATCTCAGAACTACAACAAGGTTAGTGCAAACATGGGCAACCTTGCTTTTCCTATGTGTGAGATAGAATAGCGGTCCCCCAAAGACCATCCCTTAATTCCACCAACCTGTGAATGCATTTTAATGCAAGGCTTACAGAGGGGTTTTGTAAACATGATTCATGCCAACCACCTTGAGGTGGGGTAAACATTGAAGAGGCCAGCAGCAGAGTTATAAGAAATAGAGCAGAAAATACTATTAAACATACTTGGATATAAATACTAAAACATGTACTAAACTTTATAGAAGATTTAAGTCAGCATGATAATAGCAAAGGCATTCAGCTGTCAATGTAATGATGTGTATAACATAGAAGTAGTTCTATTGTATGTTAATTCTTCATATATTTTAAAGTAAGCATTCCAGATTGGCAGTGAAGGGAGGGGTTAACCCACACAGGTTGCCAGCAAATGAAATATAATTTGGGGAAAAACAGATTTTACAAGATATTATAAACAAAATAAGAACTACATTTTTTTAAAGTCAGATAATAAATAGCAAAAATTATAGACTTTTGATTGTATTAAGTGTAAGGTTGAGGCTGCCAGAGGATATGGGGGCGGGCACCTTGAATCTGGGACTGTTCCAGTCTGCATGCCTGCAGCCTCCTAAAGTCTGGGAACTGCCTGCATTCTGAGAACTAAAAGCATCATTGATGAATCCGTTTCTGAAAAAGCAGCTTCCGTGTCCCATAAAAGCGTACCCGTGTTCCCCAGAAGGTGCAACTTCTCTGACCCCGTGGGGGTCAGTGAACCTCACCAGGGAGCACAATAAAGTTCCTGTCTATCAGAATCTTTGTCTGGATCTCGTCATTTTTTTTTTAAAGATTTATTTATTTATTCATATAGAACTGGGGTACAGGCCAGAGATGTGGAGGGTGAGAGGATTCACCAGAGACAGAGTGGGGAACAGAACAGGCAGATCGACAGAGGGCTGGTCAGGAGAGATCTGCCACGCCATGTGTTACCTCCGGGGCAGGCGGGAATCGAACTCATGCGGAAGTGGCTTAAGCTTCTTAGTGCTGTGCTTTAACCCGCTGCGCCAAAAGGGAGGTCTGGATCTCTTCATCTTTTAACTGTGCTGAACCTTTCAGGAAGGATGAACAAAATTTAAAATCAATCACTTCTTCAAAAGGTAGAAAGAAATTCGTTTCCATTAGTGGTGAGGTAGTAGAGACTTTTCTTACCTTTGACCATAAGCATGTCTTACATTTCAAAATAATAACTATAGTTTAGTTTACAAATAGTTCAGTAACTCAAAGAAGTAAGAATATAATTGATAATCTTGATTTGACACAATTGAAAACTTTTGTTTTTAAATTAACAAAGAGAAATATTGTTCAACTTCTTGGAAGTATTGTGATACTATAATCCTTAATAATAAGCTATTTATGTTACTCCATATATAGAGTGTGAACTGGTAGAGCCAAAGGCAAAACGATATATTTCACAAAAGTGAAACATAAATTCTAGAACATACCAAAAAGTATTAATATCCTAAGGACACCTAAGAAAATTATTTCTGTTACACCGCTCCTATGGAACAAAACTATTAAACCTTAACTTCCACATTTTTTCTTATATTTGTAAGTGATGTCACAAAATTAGCCAGCTTTATTATTTTTCTTTTTTATTTATTTATTTTTTTAAGATATATTTATTATTTGTGCATACAGAACTGGGGTACAGGCCAGAGGCTCAGGGGCGGTGAGAGGCTTCACCAGAGACAGAGTGGGGAACAGAACAGGCAGATCAATGAAGTACACTGCTGAGGGGAGCAGCGGGCGGGCCAGGAGAGGTCTGCCACACCATGTGGTCACCTCCGGGGCAGGCGGGAATTGAACTCATGCGGAAGCGGCTTTAGATTCTCAGTGCTGTGCTTTAACCTGCTGAGCCACCAGGGAGGGCCTTATTTAATATTTTTAATTGCGGTAATATTAGGATACTCCAATCAGGTATTGCCACCATATTGCACCCAACACCAGGTAACCCATATGCACCAACATAGTCCATGACCTCCCCACCACCATCCCATCAGGATGGTCAAGCTGTCAAGGGTCAGATTTTAAGCTTGTTTTATCTGACTCTTAGTTTGGGTTCTTCTGCATATTAGAGATACCATTTATCTTTCTTCTGACTTAATGTACTTAGAATTGTCCCTTCCAACCTTAACCATGTTCCCACTTTGGCATGAGTTTATTGTCTTGTGTAGATATATACACCACATCTTCTTGATCCATTCATCTGTTCTGGGGCATTTAGGTCATTTCCATAACTGGAC